TATATATATCGTCAAATAGAACTGCCCGGTAAACCGTAGGCAGAGAGGGAGAAGAGGACAACAAACGAGGGGCTGTGACAAACTGTTTCGTCGGAGTTTCACCGACTCATCAGGAGGCTGAACCCTCAACAGTCTATCCGGCATCCAATTTCATACCTCTGTCTACATGCATATATAAAAGGCACACACATATCCATCAATCAAATGCATCCTGGGCAGACTGTCGGTGTTCAACCTCCTGATGAGTCGGTGAAAGTCCGACGAAACAGTCTGTTCGGCACAGTCACGCGTTTTTCGAATGTATAGCGAATACACACACACACACACACACACACACACACACACACACACGCACACGCACGCACGCACGCACGCACGCACGCACGCACACACACACGATATTCAACAAAGCAGGCGACAGGAGGGAGAACAGAATAGAGAAAAGCAATGGCCCACACGACTTGCCTCTGAACACGAACCAACTGACGGTGATGTGTAGAATGCCGAGTGTTCAACCGACTGAGAACGTGCACATTCCCCTCATAGGAGTGCGAGGCGGCGGACAGAACTTACCTGCAGTGAGTACATAGGAGGGCGCGATGATGCTGGCGCCGCATTTCAGTGTCCCCTCATAAAAGAGCACTACTTGGAAGCCATAGTACCTGTAATCCGTCACTTCCCTCCCATTGACAACCGTTGCCTGCACTCTCGCCTCCGCGAGCTTCGGCCGCGATGGAACAGAGAGGACCACCAGGAAGACGAAGAAGAAGAAGAAGAATGTTGCTATTGCTCCGCTGCCGCCGCCGGCTCTTGTGCAGGAAAGAATGCCACAGCAAGTCTTGCGACGACAGCGGAGAGTCTCCACGTCGACCGCCATATCCAAACCTCGTTGAGTCGTCGAGCAGCTCGAGAAAAACTGGGTCTCAGTGATGCAGGTGAACGGAAGGAGCAACCTTGTGGCAGACTGGAGGGAAGAGACGGGGCGGTCATATGAAAAGGAGCAGAGAGGGAACGGGGGGCGGGCGCAGAGAGCTGCGAAGTGAGGACAAGAGAGGAGCAGCCAGCCGGGATGGACACAGCTTTTTCATGGGAAAACTAAAAAAGAGGGGGGGGGGAGAAACAGGCCTAGCTCACTGGGCACACCCATGAACAGTTGAATGCAGAATACGGATCGAAATTCAAACCCCAGAGAACAGAAAGAATCTGAATTCACTGGGGGCCGGCAGGCCATGATATCAGGGACTAAGCCTGGACCCCACAGGACAAAATCCTCGAAAAGACGGCCCAGAAATACTTTTTCCTACTCCATTGGACGACAGAGGCCGTCTGGAAACCGGTTTTCGGAGGTGCCGGCGGTTTTCGGGCGCCCCTCCGCCTGGAAAACGCACTCTGGAAAACTGCACTTTGGAAAACTGCACTTCTGCGTTTCCACATGACTTTCTGGTTGGAAAACTGGCACTGGGCGACTTTCCGCCAGAATTGTGTGCCATTTCCAGAGGGTAGGCCGAGCCAAGACGTCCCGTGGTTCAATGGCGACGAACATGGACATGCTCTTGTCACCCACAAACGCGTCCTCGCCACCGGGACCGCGGGAGGGATGCCCAGGCCCACCAGTTTTTTTAATTCGAATTCGAAAAAATAGGCGCTTCACGTACTGCGCGACGTGAACCTGGGCGTCGGCGTGTCATGCAGGCAGGATACAATGGACGTGCTATTAGAGCTGGATGCACACAAGTGCGCACATCCCACTTGCTCGTCTCTCGCGAACAACCTCCTTCGTCCACGGCCATCCGTGTCATCGCTAACGTGCTTCGTTCAAGGCTTGTTCGTGGGCTCCATGGCCACGTCCTCCAGCAGTGGGCCGCTATGGCAGTGAACCAGTAGCCTATGCTCACAGGGGCAATGTAAGTCCCTGGCAGTTTAGGGAAGGAGCACTCTCCCTGCGAGCAACACCACAGAATGCTCGCAAAACGCCCATGCATGATAAATGGGGAAAAAAATACATTAAAAAATTGTTTGCCACATCCCCCCCCCCCCCTCTCTCCGGTGTGGTTTCTGTCCCAACGGTACCATGATGCCAGTTGTGGCCTCCACAACAGAAAAGCCGATGGCAGCAAGGGTACCTCCTCTGAACACAATACCCACAATATCGCCTAGCAATGCCGCACTAGTGGCGCATTGTCACTCGCCACCTAACAGTAGACATCTGAAACAGGTGCGCTGCCCTTCGAACAGACATTCGTGATGATGTACTGGTCCTTCTCTAGTTTCCAGCCTTTTCGAGCTCGAAAAAACTGCATTGTTTAGCCTTTGCGGTGGGGTCCCGTCTTTCCGCAGGCAAACTCTTCCAACAACTCTTCCACAAAATTTCGACTTTTCCTGTGGGGTCCATGCCTAAGCCCCACGGTGCAGGTTTAGTTTTCCTTCCGGGTACTTTTCAACGTGGTCCCGTGAGATTTTCAGATAGGATGGCAAAAACCATTGGGTAATCAAAACCAAGTCTAAGGGTCTGATCCCACCACTACAGTTTTCAAGAAGACCACAAAAAGAACTACGCAGAAGGATCTGTCATAATCCTAGCTTAAATGCCAAGGGAAGGAAATTGCGCCAGAGGAACCACCAACATAGGAAGACGATAGGAAACGAGAAAAAACTTATTGTTGCTAACCTTGTCGAACTTGTTCTTTTTTACTGTGAGTTCATTACAGCATCAAAGGAACCTGATTTACTTATCATTTTAAAATCATTAATAAAAAGTAAGAGGAAAACACATATTGTTGTATATAAGAATAAGCAAGGGCGTGGGCTAAAACTTGAAGCATAGTGACTTGTGCAAATTTTGTTTAGCTATTCGAAAATTGAGAAAGATGAAACGAAAATATTACTTAAGTACACTAAATATGCTATTGAAATGAGAGGTAGTTTGACAGTGATGAACTCGGACATACAGTTACGAAAATTTAGCAGAGGAAAGTTGAACTCATTGCACTGTTAAGGGCGCCTTAGAAACAGAAAGACATGTTTCGCATGAATCTCAAATACTTTATTTAATAATCAAACAACGGGGTAAAAACATTGAACCAGCAACAAGCAAGACAGATTGCTCATGAGGTTTTAAGTAATGTATTAAAAGAAAATCGGTGTTAATTATAGGGATAACACTATTGCTAAAATTCATTTATGTACGTCTATAAATAACATCAACGTTAAAAATAGGGTAAGAGCATCATGATTAATATGGAACAATGTCCTTCCTGTGTCGTTGGCTGACCTGTATAAAAAAAAGACCCATGCCATATGGCTTAAAGCCAACTCGGTGGGGACCTGCTGCATAATCATAAGTCATATGCAGACCTAAGTTCATTTTAGTGTAGATGTGATGACTTTGACTTGCGCAAAGTCAGTGGGATGTCTCAGTTAAAATCCGCGATATACGGGAGTTACACTCGTTCCTATTCAATGTCAAAAAAATAAATTTTGCTGGTTCTGTTGTCAATAAAATTTAGCTGAACCAGACTGGTAACCATGCACTATAATGTTTGCGGGAAATGAGATTGGTTACCTGCAGTATGGGAGTGAATTGGTTTGACATTTATAAAAAAAAAAAAGCTATGGGAAAGGATTGTGTCCGAAGCGACTTTGTCTTGGGGGTAAGACAAGCACCAGATGGATTAGTGCGATTTCCACTTCACCGAAATACAAGTGAGACATGGATCGAGTGCCCCAAATTGTACCTGACCAGGTTGAAAATAATTTACCTTGAGAACGAGAACCATGAAATTTTCAAAAAAAGTAAGGAGATTTTGTTGAAAGAAAGGAAATCCAGGTTTGATTAACTCAAACTGTATTCAATTGCAAAGTGCAATCGCACAGTGGTTTGCAACACACTTACATTATTACAAAAGAAAAGGATAAAGGTAAAAAGTGTTTCATTATCCTATCGTATGACAACCCTTTTAGAGTTGTCTCCGGGATCTTGTCCACGACTCTAAACCACTTGATTAAAAGGGTTATTGTTTCACATTTTAACTTATAATCCATAAGTCAATTAAAAAGATAAATTGAGAAAATCAACCATCACAGGGGAGCATGTTATTGTTGCATCGTTGATGAAACTTATGATATAGTAAATAAGATGTTCACACAGTTACCCCACCTGAAGATCCAAAAGGTTATCAAATGAATAATAAATATAGTTAGTGACAAAAGCATCTTGTGGATCCGCATAAAAAACACTGAATAGTGGCAGCCTTTAAAAAATCTCAAGAAGAGTCGAGATGAAAATAGGTCCAGTTAAAGACATTGGTTTCACTCACCAACTATCAACTTGAAAATACCTGTTTTCTATTATCCAATCAGACGTTGAAACAAAAACGTGGTTTTCCTATAGGTCGTCGAGCTATCCTCCCGACACATTTTTGTATATTGTGTGTGATTGCGAAGTATCAATTTATCTTTTCCTTACGAACTGATGCTTCTAGCATTTTTTGGAAAAAAATACATTAATGATCTCCTTATCATAATTTTTTTCCCCATAAACGATATACAAGGACAAAAAATGGTTTAATTACACCACTAGTACCCCACCCAGCCAAAAACATTCGACCCCTTCAATTTATGAAGGTCCTTGACAGGGCCGACAGAGGCCGGGTAGAGCCTCGGTAGAGGTGTGGAAGTCGCTCGTTTGGAAAATGAGAAGGAACGATCAGAGAAAGAAATAGCACAATGATTCAAAAAAAATAAAAAAAAATTGGAAAGGAAAAAAATTACTGAGGACGGAGCGCGGCAGGTGGTGAAGTAGTGTCTCGTGAAGAATTATCTAGTGTACAAAACATAGAATGCATCTTCCTCATGAAAGTTAGACAAGGATGACACGCATAAATCGGGAGATAGTTTCAAAAAAAAAAAAAAAAAACTATCGCCGCTTAATTTTTGTCCTTTGTGGACATGATGACCCGTTCCATCACTCTGACAAACGCATCACCCGCACCTAAGTAGAGATTTGCGTTGGACTGTTCGAATACATAAAGTGAGGATAAATGTTAATCCTAAACGCAGGTAGATATAGTAAAGATTAGCATGGGCGTGCGTGAGGATAACACGCATAAATCGAGAAATAGTCCCCCCTCCCCCCCCTAAAAAAAAAAAAAAAAAAGTTATAGCGGCCTATTTTTTTTTTGTTTGTGCAATAGGGTCTCCCTCCACTACTCTCCAAATGTGCTAAATGAGATTGAATCCTTCACGAGAACATGGCAAGATACATTGTCATTTCTTCTATGTTATGCATGCGGACCCGCACCTCCGTAGAGATGTGGGTTTGTGTTGCACTTCCTTTAAATACACAAAACGAGTATGAAATCTTCATCCTCAACACAAGTAGATACTGTAGAGACAAGCATGGCCTTGCGTGAGGATAACACACCGCATAAATCGAGAAATAGTCCAAGGAAAAGAAAAGAAAAACTACAGTGACCTAAATTTTGTTTTCTGCGCATGTGGAGAGTAATGGAGCGAGACCCTTAGATTATGGTTGGAGAGCCGTGACATTACTCTTACGAGGTGAAAAATTGCACGCAAATGAAAAAAGATAAAATAAAAATGCAAACAAACAGAATAAAACGCTCGGTTGCCTCTATTAAATTGAAGGTCAGTTGCTATATCTCCAACGTGCATCAGCCCGATTCACCAAAACAAAAGAGATTCGATGGCTTGAAAAGAAAAAGGTTCGGGTAGGTTGCCTCAAGGGTACTGTTAATTTAAGCATGTCGCTTGCTAACGATAGGGCTTGAAAGTCGTGTGTACCGACCAAGGAATAGGGGGTGCTTGATTTTCTTGAAACTCTGATGATCGCCTCTGATTTTCGAACTTCAATTCTTATGATTCACAAATTGAAAAATTTAAA